TCGTCTAATTTTTTTCATCGCTGTTTTCTATAAGTCCTAGGAAATGGTTATTAGGTCTGCTTGGTTCTTCCAGTTCACACAGGTTTGCAGATGTTATTGCTGTACTTATTCTGTCATAATGACTATTGACCAAATGTTTTACTAGATATTATCAAACTCTTTTATTTTTATAACTAGCAACTAATCGTCCTAATCCCACTTGCGATGCGCGAAGTCAAAATAAATATTTAGCGTTTGATGAAGCTTTGAAATTTGCATAAACAGCATAAAACTTCGCTGGAAAACCACTGTAAAATAGTTTTGTCAAATCAACTGGAATAGTGTTTTTCAAGAATATAAACGATTTTTATTTTCTATTTCCTCCTTATTCTGGTTTAGTACAGAGCTTCAAAATTATGATACAGTCAAAAAATAAAACTTTTTTGGGGAGTTATTTGCAGGAATCAAGTTTGACGCGATCTACATTGACGTTTGTCCAACGAGGTTTCCGGAAGAAGAAGAAATTATGTGTCCTATCAGCGCCTTTTTAAATCCCGCGACCATCAAAGCAATTAAAAATTCCCTTAAACCCAGCGGTATGGTATTCAAAAAGCTTTTTTGCTGCTAAACAGCAATACTTAGTGCAACTGTTTTCTTTTCCGTCGTACATGGCAGTAATTACAAATGTAAGCACGTTAAGAACGGATTTTATTTGTCAGCTACCTTAAAGATTCAAAACTGAGTTTATTTTTTTAAAGGAACTGTTGCTGTCAAAATGCTGCTTTTTGTGGAAGATGTTGAACAAACTGCAGAAAAGGTCAGCTTTTAGAGAACCGAATAGTCGCTTTACCCTTTTCCAGTTACTTTTAGTGCTACAAAAACCTCACAAATACTTGCTCCTGCTACCAAAAGTATTAAATAAGCTCTCGTCGGTGCAATTATTTAAAGTATTGACTTGTTGATTTACAGATTGCTGACGAATATCGTAAAGAATTACCCGTCTGTACTATAACGCCTATGGTCAGTGAATTTAATCGGGTATAGTTTACTCTTCTTTGTTGCACTCATTACCCTTCTACGTGTGGAAGAGAATGCTCTTTTAAGCCATTTCTGTGATGTATAATCGAAGAAACAAACGACTTCATTTTGAGTACCGCCGAAAAAAAGAATTTTTTAGGTTTTGGTATGTGCTAATGATAAAGTTGATAAAGAAAACGTAACAAAAGGTAACTTAGCTGAAGGGTTTTCAAAGTTTGTTCAACATTTCCATTTGGAGAGTGATCTTCGCAATACTTCAGAGTGAAAAAAATTCCAGAGCACAACTGCATTCAATCCTGTGACGGGTTCTTTATAATTACTTTTTTTGAGCTGCCTCTTCTTAGGTTTCTATATGTATATAAAGTGTCTGTATGTGTGCGGAGAGAAGTTTTTGTACGGGGATTCTTGAGTACTATTTTCAGTTATGATTAATTAACTAATAATGTTTAGTGTACTGCATTTTAATATTTTATTTAATAGCTTGTTTCATTGACATGATACATTATCGACTAATTTAGAAATTTTATGTGAACATTCAAGAGATAGGTAGATAGCAAAAACTGTACATATTACTTTGTCGTACCATCTGCTGTTTCGGAAAAAAAAAATAAATTTTTTTTTTTCTGTTTTGGCAATTCACAACTGAATTTGTTCAGGAAATATTCGTTATAAGTCCTCCAAGTGAACTGCCAAAAAATACTAATGGAGGCCTTAATTTACACAAAATTTACAGAATCTCCCAAGAACAAACGTACATAGCAGAATGCAGAAAGCAGCTCATAAAAACAGTTGCTGTCAAAATAGGAGAAAGCCTTAAAAGACATGCTTTCTCCTTCGTTAACGAAATGCTTAAATGTACAAAAGCAGTAACATTTAATCGTGAATTACGGAAATGTTCATGGCAATGCAGTAAAGGCCAGTCCACGACAGCCTCTCAATTCTATCGGTAAATGTCACAGTGAACCTAACCCACAATTTTATATTCCCCATCCGTTTCTTTCAAAGATATCAAAAATCGGTTTAGAAATTTTATCTTCAGGCGCTGATTTCCAGCGTGTATTCGCAGTTGCAAATACAGATTAGACTTGTTATATTGTCTCTGTCGTTGTCTATAATTTTTCTGTTTTGTTGGAGTTGTGGTGTAAAGTTGTACCGTTTTTTTCAATTTGTAATTTTTGGTATTTATTTTTTTTTTTCATTTATTTTATTCTTATTATTTATATTGGTTAGTTCGTCTTGCTTAAAAATTTTTTGTGAGTTAGATTAATATCTTAGGTTTGGACACTAGTATGCCTATAACCTCTGGGAATTTGTGGTTTGTATATTAGTAGTATTTTTTAATGTGATATAAAGTCCATTTTTTCTGATGTTTAGCTTGTGCTCGTACTGTTGATTTTATTTTTTTGTGGGCTTTGGTCGGGTTTGTGATGGCTACTATATTGGCTTTTCGACAGATAACTTTTAATTATTGCTGTTGGTGATGATGCATATTTAGGTATATTATATGGTATTTGGAGTAACAGAACGTCGGTGCTGATTCGTTTTTTATCGTTGACTCTACGTTTTATAATTAATTTGAGTATTGACCATATTATTATATGGTCTTAAAATACTAGTGGTATTAATACTGAGGATAACTGTTTGGTGTATGCTAAGCTTTATAAGTTTTTTTAGATAAGGTTTTTATTGTTTTTTTTCAGTGTTTGTAAATTTTTTATATTTTTCATTTTTTGTCTTTTACAAGGAGTCTGTGCTGAAGAATTGCAATTGCTTTAGATTAAGAAGTGTAGTTGTTTTAAGGTTAGTTGGTAGTCAAGTAGTTTGAACAAATCTGTGATAAATTTTCTAAACTTATTTTGGTAAAAGCTGATTGTTTGTTCTGTTTGTTCTGTTCACATTTTTTTCGTTAACATCTTTTATTAATCTTTTGTGTGGAATTATCTTATTTGGTCAAGGTTTTTCGTAATTATGAGGTTCTTTCGTTTTTTTTTTTTGTTTTTTCAATATAAAGATGGTTGTAGTTATGGTAGTGTGATCAGTTTCGTTTACCCAGAGTGTTTGAAAATTTTTTTTCTATTTGTTAGTGGTAATGTGGTGCAGGGTATGGCGGTAATGAGTAAGAAAGGTCTATTACCTTATCATTATTGGTTTTTGACTGCGATAGATGGCTTGTTCAGTAGAGTTTTGCTTTGATTTTGGACTTTACGTAAGTTACTTTATACGAGTGTTTTCATTGTTTTGTATGACCTTTATGTCTATGTTTAGCTGGTTCACATTAAATTTCTTGAGGTAACGTCTGGAGTGATTAAGATTAATAATTTTGTTATTATAGTGGCGGGGTTGTTTTATTTATTATCATAGGTGTGATTTCTGCTCTGTTAAGATAGTGGTTCTGGTAATAGTGTGAGTAATATGGTTGTTTTTGGTGTGAGTGATAATGATCATATCAGGAGTTTCAGTATCTTTGTTCGTATAGAACTTGCAAGTTTTTGGGAAGGGCTCTTGGGTGGTTTTTATTGTGTTTTCCGCTTGTATTCTAGTACTGCATACTGGTGGAGTAGAACTTGATTTGTTAAATGATTATAAAAGTTGCTAGCGTGAACTACTTAAGTTTTTTGTTTAATGAATTAAGAGGTAATGATGGTTAGTCTCGAAGAGGCGTTAGTATTGATAACTTTATTCTTGTTATTTGCTTTATGAGTTAGTAGATTTTATGGTTGTTGATTACTGTTCAGAATCGATCATGTCTGTTATTCTTTTGTTATAACATTAGATTTTTTCTTGTTGTTAATTTCTGTTGGTTTTATATTATTTTGATATTTGAATAAATTCTTTTTTATTAGGTTGTTGTGGGAGTTTGCCCACATTTGTTTTCAATTTGTGTAGAGAAATTATAGAATGGTCAAATTATTGAAAGACTTATGTTTTAATTGGAATTTTCGTCTGCCTTATGAATGTCTTTTAAATGGTGGGTTTAATGCGAGGGTACGAAAGTAACAAAATAGGCCATGTTTTTAATAGGTTCTGGTACGAATGGGGTAAATCGCTGTAATTTTTCTTCGGTTTTGGCTGAACTACACAGTTTTTAAGAAACAGATTGTTGCTGTTGAACTGAAATAAGTCTTCGGAATTTTTTGTGCTTTTCTTGGGTGAATTTTATGGCATTTATTTCCTTTATTGTTAGATTTTAAAACTACTTCAGAGTTGAAAGGATGTTATTTTCTGCATAATTTGTCGGGACAGCGCGCGAAACGCACATGCGCTATAAGGACGACGTT